GCTGGGAGTGCGGCCACAGGTTAAGCTGGTGAGTAGCGTAGCGCACGGCGAACGGCCACAGAAAATGGGGTGCACCGTCGTGGACCATGGAGGTGCAAGCCACCTCCATGATTTGGCCGATGAGTCGCTCAGCGAACCCATTCTGCTGTGGGGATTCCGGTAGGGTGTACGTCTGGCGGATGCCCTCCACACGACAGATTCGTCCTAGAGAGCCAGAGGCGTACTTGCCACTGCGGTCAGAGTGTAAGCGATCTACACACAGGCGGTGGGCGGTGCGAACAGTGAGAAGCCACGGGAGGAGAACGGTCGGCACGTCGGCCTTCCGCTCCAACGGGAAAACTGTGGTGAACCGCGAGAAGTCGTCAACGGCGACTAGGAATTAGCGCTCCCGACTGAGACCATGGATCGGGGCAGGGCCCTAGACATCCATGTGCAATGTCTGCAGCGGTGCTGTGGTAGGAGGAAACGAAGAGGAGTGAGGGGCGGCACGCTGCCGGCCCTCAACGCAAGAGGTGCACAGTGGCGCTACCGACGGAGGCAAGGCGGGGAGCGACGTAGGGAGACTAGTGACTAGACTGTACTGGGACATGTGCCTAAGACGTGGGAGTGCAGGGTGACCTAAGCGGTGGTGCCACAGAAGGGTCGGGTGGGCTAGTGAGCGACAGGAGCAGGACGCGACGACCTCGGAAGACGCAGCAGTGAGCGAGGAATCAGTGTGCAGGGTAAAGAGACCTGATCCAGGGTCACTCTCAAAGGTAGCTAAGTGTCGTCCGGTGACTGTGTCTGTGCAAGCAGCGTGTCTCTCGTGGCCAGGGAACGTAGTGGTGACGCCTCGGTCCTGGAGGTGACCGACACCCACTAAGTTCCTAGCAAACGAGGGGATGTGCAGACCTGTGAGGGAGCTGGAAGGGACAGCCGGACAGGGGAGAGTGGTGGTGCTACGTGCGACAGCTGTGGCGGAGGAGTCTGCTAGTGCGACGCGAAAAGGCGTAGGAAGTGGGGTGAGAGCAGTATTGTCTCGAAAGAAGCACCGAGACGCTCCAGAGTCTAAGACAAAGGAGAGGGATAGGAACTCCACGACGAAGCAAGACCGGCCAGGGGGGAATCTGCACCTGCGGGCCGAAGTGACGACGGTAGAGGTCGTCCAGGCGGCGGAAGCAGCGAGCGGCAGTGTGCCCCACGCGCCCGCACACTTGGCCTGCCTGTGGGCCAGTCAGCAGCTGGTACGTGCAGGTTACCGCGCTACCTGAACCACCAGCACCCTGACTCACAGAAGAGCCACGCGACCCCCAGGGCACCGACAGCCCTGGGCCCCAACCCCCACGACCTCCACCACGACTACCACCCCCAGGGCCCACCGGCCCCCAAGACTGCTGCGGCTGCTGCTGCTGCTGCTACTGTGCAGTCCCCGACTCTGACTGACCACCCTCTCCGTCCGCACCCTCACCCCCTCCACCTGCTGCTGCCGAACCCCCACGATCCTTTCCCCCTTTGCCCTTGCCCTTACCACCAGATGAGCGGCCGGGGGCAGAGGTAGCCGCTGCTGTCTCAATTACAGAGGCGGAGGCAGGGGCTGTTACTGGGGAGGGAGCGCTGCCCCGCCGACGTGCCAGTGGAACCGGCGATAGCGCGGAGGCGGTCCTCTATCTAAGTCAGGGAGGTGGAGAAGAGGTCAATAGTGAGCTCAGAGGGGTGACGAGCAAGGAGCGCGTCACGGGCAGGGGCTAGGCGGTCAGGGAGGCGGGTGACAAGGAAGTAGACAGTGGCAAAGAGGGGGGGCGGGGCGAGCGCTAGCTAGGCCTCAGTACTGGCCGCATGCCAGCGAGCCTTGAGAGAAAGTAGGTGCTCGAATAAGTCTGCTACTGTGGTGAACGTCGTCAGGTCACGGTGGAAGAAAGGGAGGAGGAGGCGACCAAGAGTGGCAGACGATGGGGTGGAGTACCTAGCTAGAATAGCCAGCCAGAGGGCGCGGGCTGACGCAGCACCCACAAAGTGGGAGTGCTCGGCAACCGACAGGCACCTGAGGATGGCGACTCGAGCATTGGCGTCGCGAGATGCCCAGATAGAGTAGGCAGTACGAGCAGCAGCGTGCACAGCCTGCAGCTCCGACGTCGCGTCATGAGCAGGAGCGCCCAGGCGAGGGATAGTGGGGAGCTCACAAGAGACGTGGGAGTCCAAAGACTCGTCGTCGACGCGCTGACTCGAGAGCTGAAGGAGAACTGCCTCCTGCCAGGCGGCGAAACCGACTGCTGTGGCAGTGGTAGCAGTGGCAGCTAAAGCGGCTGCAGCGGCAGTGGCAACAGCAGCTGCAACAGTGGCCGCGGTGGCGGTGCAAGTGGCTGCAGCGGAAGAGCAATTGGCAGAGCAAGCTGCAGCAGTGGCAGAGGCAGTGGCTGCAGCGGAGAGGCGCCGCTGGCAGTGGCAGCTGGCGAGCAGTGGAGTCAGTTGGCGCTGCTGACTAGTGTGGGTAAGCGGCTTAGCGGGCGCTGGCGAGCTGGCGCTGGCGACTAGCAGCTGGCGGCTAGCAGCTGGCGAGCTGGCGCTGGCGAGCTGGCGGCTAGCAGCTGGCGGCTAGTAGCTGGCGAGCTGGCGGCTAGCAGCTAGCGAGCTGGCGCTTGCGGCTAACAGCTGGCAAGCTGGCGCTGGCTAGCTGGCTGGTGCTTGTGAATGCTTGCTGGCGCTGGCGAGCTGGCGCTGGCGGCTAGCAGCTAGCTGGCACGAGCTAGTTGGCACGAGCTGGGGGCTGGCTAGCTGGCGCTGGCGGCAAACTGCTGGCAGGGACTAGCGAGCTAATTCTGGCAAGCTGGCGCTGGCGAGCTGGTGCTGGCTAACGCATGTGAGCTGGCGCTAGCGAGCTGGCGGGCTGGCTGGCGCTGGCGTCAGGGACAAGCTACGATCGAGCGGGGGGGGTCGGCGACTAACGAAGGCGCCAATGTGGTGCGGGCTAGCGGCGGCTGGCGCTGATCGACACTATCTGGTGGCGGCTGGCGCTAGCCGACGCAAGCTACGCGACGAGCAGAGGAGGGCGGGGAGGGGACGATCTACCGTAATCCCCCGTATATAACACCCTATGGTGTATATAAAAATTCACTAAAAAAATGATTGGGTGTTAACATTGGCCCGGAAAATTATAGTGCCCATGTGTTATGTAAAATGCAATTTGAATTTGAGTGTTTCAGGCCATGTGTGTTCAAAAATGCGCGGAGCGACTGTTAGCGAGGTACAGCATCCGCTAAGATGAAACTCACGAACCAATCCTTGTTGGCCAATCCCTGCTGAGTGCTGTAGTAAGGGCCAGGTTTGTGCGGCACCTGCGACCGTCATGATCGCGACAGAATCCGCGACTTCGACGGGAGGATTTCGCTCGGGAGGATTCTGACCGTCAAATCACAAGAGGATCCGCGATTTCGACGATCGAAATCCTCCCGAGTCTCGACCTTTGCTGACGTTTCGATTTCGCGCTGCAACTTGTGTTGATGTTTCTGCCCGTTTTTTCGTTGCTAATGGTAGTTGACATTGCGTTTTTCATCCTGTTCGTTTTTTTTTTCTCTCTCAATCGAGCTTAGCTTGAAAAACTACGAAATACTGTTCTTTGCTGCATAAAACGAGGAGGGTGTTATGTAAAATGCAGCCCCCGAAAAGCGGATGCTCTCCTAAATTCACCCTATCATAAGCTCTCCCCCGCATAAACCACCCGCGGAGTGACTATTTCGGCGGGTGTTATATACGGGGGATTACGGTACAAGGCGCGCAACTAGGGGCGAGGCGCGATAGGCTAGGGTGTGCTAGGGCGGAAGCGTGAGTAAAGGGCGAGACCTAGCTCTAGATGCCATGTTAGAATGTCGAGAGAAAAGTGACTAAGGGAGGAAGGCTGAGGGTTACAAAGGTGGGAATGTACCCTCTAATAACTGACATAACTAAGGCTATAACAAATATACTGTACCTAGCATAGACAATTATATTTGTTGACACTATATTCCTAGGATACCTATCTAACGCACTTGTTTTGCTGCGAAGTGCTTCCTCTTTGTATATCTCGATTTTCAAGTCCAGATGGGATGCGATTTGACAGCGTGGAACATGCAGTTACGAACTCTCAGGTTCGAACTTCCACCATCCCACATCCATTTTTTACTTACCAGAACTTTACTGGAACTTACCAAACCGTATTCCACTTTGCTAGAAAGTTCGAACTTTGTTGTATGTTCTGAAATAAATCGTCTGGTGTTATAGTAGACTAAGTATAAAACTAAAAACACGAACACTTGGCAAATCCTCAAGTGTTGGTCCAGGATCTTTGCTGGAATGGTAGACTAGTAAGGCAGCGGAAGTCTTGTAAAATATAAAGGTCAAGGTTGAATAACCTGAGTACGTGAACTTGTGAGTAATCAAAGTTAATAATGAAAAGACCTAACAAGTATTTATAATTCTACAAAAAAGTACCTATTCGCTAATGTACCTGTTCGTCACTATCGCGCTATGCGCCCTAGATGATAATGAAGAGGTGCGACTGTTCGTGTGACTGAAACGACTGTCCTATGACGAGCGCTATTTGCTGACGTCATCCTACGGACTTATCTTCTACAGTAGGATTCGACACTAGCTACACTTAATAGACTTACAGAAATGCTAAGTATCAATTATATCACAACTGTTCCACACCCTAATTCTTAAGAGGGTAATAACGAGGGAACATAACAAAATCTGAGGGGCTTGACCACAATGTGTATGGTTATTTCGTTTCCAAAACTATTTGTTATCTTACCGGATGCAGAGGCAAGAGCGAAACACGTGCTGCAAACTAGGGGACAAGAGACTCTGGAGAGGAAGATTCTTGGTGAGGCGGTGGCAACTAGCATCCTCCGTTGGCTTGATGCCCAAGATTTGTTGCTTGGCTTTCTTCCGGACCTAGCAATGCGCTTCGTTTTGGCAGTCTCTACATCATACAAGTGCTGGCAGGAAGTGGGATGCTGTTGTGAATTTGAGCAATCCCCATGGTATCAAATCTGTCAGATATGCTGCTCCGCTGAGGCCTCAGATCTCTTGTTGTGAGCCCAGCAGGTTGTAGCAGCTGGCGGGATGCAGCACCGCTGGTTGTCAGCCACATATTAGGTCTGCTAGCTTTTCGCTCCTTCTCAGTATGAGTCGTCTTCGTTAGGGGCCGTATGAGGAATCGTAACGATACTTCTTCGTTTCAGGTGCGCCGCGCCAGCAGGCCTACCTCTCCTCACGAGTCAGGGTGAGTGCACTTGTCCATTCCGTTTTGTTATGATATTCCAGCGTGATTCCCGAGAAGTGTTGCGAGGTCCTACTAGCCGTTTTCGTTCGCACCACGCACTCCCCGGGTTGTCCACGTCAGCGATAATTCCGCACCACAAGCATTCCCAACGATCACCGCCTTTTGTTATTAGCTTCTATTGTACCAGCAGCTTTTCCCACAAGCATGTACCACGCACTAGCACACGTGTTGTCACTGTCGTTTTCTCCTTCCCAAGTCAGCAAGACTGTCGTTTACCCTTTACCGAAACCCCCTAGCTTCACCTCAGGTGTTGCCTCGCCGAATTTCCATTGACGAGCTCGACGATGGTGGCAGCTTCCCCTTATGCACAAGCGCTGCCGTTGACTTTGTTACGTACCCTTCACCTCGCCGCATAGAAAGCTTTCTCTATTATGTGTACGAGCTGAAAAGTGCTGAGCTTCCTTGCTGGGGTGCTGGAGCTGACGGTACCAGACAATGATGATGTATGGAACGCCTTGCGACACACCTATCTCGCTGACTTCATAAGCGCTGGGAAGCCTGACCAGGTAGGTCGCATCCGGCGTCACGTCAAGAACGTGAAGCTCCATTCTTACTCTGAATTCTTCTGTTTATATACTGCCTCGCAATAAGCACAACACCCTCTCTTAAAGCCCGAGGTACGAATTGTCGAAGTTGGGGGTGTTGTTAAACACTTGAAGCAGTGTATCAATTCTTTTTCTAGGGCCATGGGGGCTGGCGAACTTTTTTGGGAGCTCGCTATCCAGCCAAATGTTCCCCCCCCTTTCAACTGCTAACTTTTTTACAATCCAGACCTCGGGCTTTAAGAGAATCCGTTCACTCTCTGGAGATTGCCTGACTTAAAAACCAACACTCTCCCCTTATCATTGCCATTGCAGGACAGGAGGACAAAGATTTTAAGTACTTCATGGCATGGGGCATGGAAGACTTGGCAGCACAAGCACGTGATGCTGCAGGAGACTGCCATTATGAAGGCATGGACCCGACCTGGATGGAAGGAGCTCAAACTCGAATCCGTTCAGCGGCTCTGCACGTGGTGGAGGCTCAGCAAGCGTCATCAGAGCACAGCCGCATGGCACTTGCCATGGAAAATTGCCTTGGACATCAAAACGTTACAAGCGGTGTGGGTTTTTACAAGAAAACCCGAACTTCATCGTTTTCTGCCTTAGACTCTGAGGCTTCTCCTGCAAGTTTTTTTCGACACATGCGGTCGAGTTCTGCTGGGGCTTCTGTGTCAGGAAGGGAGCTCGATGCTGCTGATCCGTCTGGGAAAGTTGACTCTGCTGTTCTCTCCAGGAAGCTTGTCATTGGTGTTCCCTTGAAGCAGCTTGGATCTGGTGTTCCTTCACGCTTTGAAGAGAGCAACTTGACCAAGGCGCATTTTTCCCATGTGCGGCAGCGCCCTACAGTGCGATGGGGCAAAGTGCTGGGCAGGATCAAGTCATTATCTTCCTTCACATTTTAATGACGACTGATCCGGTAGGTATGCTGGTCTAGTTTGACAATCTTTCTGCCCCTTCTGTGTGTATAGGAGAAGCTTGAAACTGTTTATGGGAGTGCGTGGGATGGGAACAGTATCAGAATGAGAGAAGTGAATGATGAGTAGTGGGAGAGTACAGATAGATATACCTAAGTATTGTACCCTCTAAGAGCTGATCCTATACAGTCTATGCAAACATAACTAATACACATGTTTGATACACCCCCTAGACTGCATAGGGGAATGTCTTGAACAAGCAGCTCAGGGTGGCACTACTAGACCAGCCTCTGAGACAAGGGTCTAAAACACCAGTCAGAAGGAGTGCAGACAAGGCAAGAACAAGATCAGGGTGGCACTACTAGTCCAACCACTGGGAGAGGACACAAGTCCAGTCTGAGTATACATATAAAAGGGCATTACAAAGTCAAGGCCCTAGCAAGTGAGAGGCTACAGGGACTAGACCAAGCTGTACGCAGTGCCGCTGATGATCTTTAGGCGCAAGCGCCTTCGTAAAGATATCAGCTGTGTTGGCACCTGAGGCCAAGTGTACTACGCGAGCCTGGCGTCGCTGCTGTAGCTCGCGCAGGAGGAAGTATCGCAGCTGAATATGCTTCGCTCTGCCCTCGAGTCGAGGCTCCTGACACAGGAGGATCATGGCCCTGTTGTCAGCGAACAGGACCGGGGCAGAGCTAGGCCGCTCACCTAAGTCAGTGAATAAGAAGGTCAGCCAGCGGAGCTCCTGTGCCGCCATGGCACCAGCGTAGATCTCGGCCTCACAGCTGGACTGGGCAACAGACGAGGAGCGGGTAGCTCTCCACGAGACGGCACCTGAGCCAAGGCTGAAGCAATAGCCCTGGGTAGACCTGAGTGTCTCGACGTCGTCTGCCCACGAAGCGTCGGTGTGTCCAGTAAGGACCACTGGCCTGCGTCCTCCTAGCATTAACCCCATGCCCGATGTACTAGCAAGATAACGCAAAACCCTCTTAGCGGCAGACCAGTGCTACGGTCGGTGTCTGCCTGTGGCCACAAAGCGAGCCAGGATGCTGAGAGGGTATGCGAGATCTGGGCGAGTGCAAGTCATCAGGTACATGAGGCAACCCACCAGCTCTGCGTAGGGGCCGCTGGGCTCAACCGACTCCTCACACACTGGAGCGGAGAGTCTGTGATCTACAGGCAGAGGGGTGGGCTGTGCAGAGGAGAACTGAAGGCTGAACCTCTGAAGGACCTGGCGCACCAAGTGTGACAGAGTCAGGGTGATGGTGCGCGCTGCTCTGTCCTTGGAGATCTGCAAGCCAAGGTAACGGCGCAGTTCTCCAAGGTCAGTGCACGTGTGTCTCTTCAGCAGCTCTGCCTTCACGGAGGCCACTCTGTCCCTGTCTGCTGTGGCAAAGACCAGGTTGTCAACGTAAACAAGGATGTAGAACGGAGTCTGGCCAGCACGAACGAAGAGTGAGGGGTCTGCGGAAGACGGAAAGAACTGCAGGTCAGCAAGCGTAGCACGGAGGGTGTCGTGCCACTCACGGGGAGCCTGGCGCAGGCCGTAAACGGGGCGCCGCAGGAGCCACTGGGTCCCAGGAGGGAAGGTACCAGTAAAGCCCTGAGGGCGACGCAAGTAGACCTGCTCGTGTAGGCTGCCCTGAAGGAAGGCAGTGGAGAAGTCGAGGGAGTGAAGCTCGTAGTCGCGCTGAGCAGCTAGGTGTAGCAGAACCCGAAGAGTAGTCATCTTCGGGGTCGGAGCGAAGGTCTGGAAGAACTCCACCCCCTCACGCTGACTAAAGCCTCTAGCCACGTAGCGCGCCTTGAACACAGGCGGCTCTCCAGGAGGGCGCTTCACCTTGAAGAGCCAGCGGCCATCGACTACGTTCACCCCAGGCGGGGGAACTGCGTCGACGAAGGTGCTGGTGGATCTCCAAGATGCCATCTCCTGCTCCATGGCAGCTATCCACTGAGAGGCCCAAGGTCCCGAGGTCGCCTCAGCGTAAGTGCGAGGAGTCGGGATGTCGAAAGCGTCTGGGTCACCCTCAGGGACTAGCAGCATGGAACAGAGATGGGGAGCAGCCTCGGAGAGGAAAGCAAGCTCGAACTTGCGGTCCTCCAGGACGTCACTGCCAAGGGCAGGAGCACCCCCGACAGACGGAGGACAGGCAGGGTCAGAGACCAGAGCGGAGGCGTAGTCAAGGCGGCGGGTAGAGGCGAAGTCAGCGACCGCAGCGACAAGATCGTCAAGGCACGAGACAGGAACAGACGGGTCGGTAACAAGAGAGGCAAGGACCCGAGGAACAAGAGGACGAGCGGCACGAAGGTAGTCAGATAGCGGGGGGGGTGCAACAACAAGGGAGGACGGAGGAGGCGACGGCAGAAGGGGAGGACGAGACGCGTGGGAACGAAGCAACATAGGGTGGGAGCGCAAGACAGGCGAGGCAGGATGAGCACAGGAGGGACGGTGAGACCAGACGTGCGACGGAGGAGTCGGGTCAGGAGACAGGGGAGGGGACACAGGAGGGGAACGAGGGGGAAGACGGGCCGAGGACGAGTCCGGCGGAGGGAACACAGGGCCGTAGACAGGAAGAGGAGGAGACGGTCGGAGAGGAACAGACGCAGGGTCGGGGGACGGAAGGCCGAGCAGGCGAAGGGCTGACACCAGCGGGGACTGCTGCTGTGGCGGCACAACGGCGACACCTGGACCGCAAGCTGCTCCTCGGCTACCACCGACACACTCCACACCAGCACCCCCAGAGGGACCACCCCCAGGGCGACCGGGACGAGCACCCCCAGAGTCGGCGAACGGGTGCTGGGACGGTGGCGGCGGCAGCGGCGGCGGCGGCGGCGGCAGCGACAACGACGGCTGCAGCGGCGGCAGAGGCGGTGGAGGAGGGGACTGGGGAGGGGACGCCGGGGGAGGGGCAGCCGGCGAGGACTGCGCAGCAGGGCCACCAGAGTCAGAAGACTCCTCAACCGGGTCTACCGACGGAAGGGGGGTGACGTGGGACACACCAGAGGGGGCAGGACGGGGAGGAGGAGGAGGAGGGGTAGGGACTACCGGGGAAGGAGTGACCAGGATTAAGGGGGGGGTAACCGGGGGACCGCGGTGGGGGAAGCGACGGTAGTAGGAGACGGACTCGTCAAATGTGACGTCGCGAGAGTGAAAGAAGCGGTGAGACGGCGGGTGGTAAAAGTGCCAGTCGGACGCGTCAAGGGGAAAACCGAGGAAGACGCAGGGAAGGGTGCGGGCAGTGAGCTTGTCCGTGCCGGAGGCACGGACGTGAGCAAGGCAGCCCCAGACGTGGAACGCAGACGCGTCACCAGGAGACCCAGTCCAAAGTTGGGTCGGCGAAACTTGCGGCTGCTGAGGGTGCGGCCTCAAGTTAAGCTGGTGAGAAGCGTAGCGCACGGCGAACGGCCACAGAAAATGGGGTGCACCATCATGGGTCATGGAGGTGCGAGCCACCTCCATGACCAAACCGATGCGTCGCTCAGCAACCCCATTCTGCTGTGCGGAGTCCGGTAGGGTGAACGTCTGGGTGATGCCCTCCGCACAACAAAAGCGACCAAGGACACCTGAGGCAAACTCGCCACCACGGTCGGAGTGAAGACGCAAGACAGGGAGACCGCGGTGGACACGAGCAGAGACAAGCCAGGGGATGAGAGCGCCAGGCACGTCGGCCTTGCGCTCCAGAGGAAAGACTATGGTGTAACGAGTGAAGTCGTCGACAAGCACAAGGAAGTAGCGCTCTCGACGCGGCCCAGAGACGGGGGTAGGGCCCTAGACGTCCAGGTGCAGGGTCTGTAGCGGCGCGGCGGTAGGGGGAAACGAGGAGGAGTGAGGGGCACGGTGAAGCCGACCCTCAACACAAGGCGTGCAAGGTGGGGCTGGGGAGGAGGGAAACGCGGGGAGAGAACCTGGGAGACCAAGGACAAGATCGTGCTGGGACATGTGACGCTGACGCGGGAGCGCAGGGTGACCTAGGCGGTGGTGACAAAGGAGAGTCGGGTGAGTGAGGGACCGACAGGAGCAGGCAGCAGCAACCTGGGTGAGCGCTCCAGCCGGGGGGGTCACGGTGTCCAGAGTGAACAGGCCGGACACCGGGTCCCGGGGGAACGTGGACAGGGGGGCACCAGTGGCGGCCTCGGTACAGACAGCATACCGCTCGTGACCAGGGAACGTAGTGGTGACGCCAAGGTCCTGGAGGCAGCCGACACCAACTAGGTTCCTGGAGAACGAGGGGATATGCAGACCTGTGAGAGAGCCCGAAGGAACCGCCGGACAGGGAAGGGTGGTGGAACTGCGGGCGACTACCAGACCGCCGGAGGGGTCAGCAAGAGAAACGGCAGCAGGAACAGGAAGCGGCGTCAGGGTGGTGAAGTCACGGAAGAAACACCGGGAAGCGCCAGAGTCCAGGGTGAAGGAAAGCGAGGCAGAGGCGTCTGGCGACGGAACGACGGCGGAAGCACCAAGACTACACAAAGCAGGGGATCCTACGCCTGATGCAGCAGGGGAGGCTAAGCTAGGCACACCTACACTAGCCGACAGTGAGTAATAAGCGGGAAGCACACTAGAGTCATCAGCATACATTTCATGCAGAGCAGAAACAATGGCATCCATGTCCATGTCAAAAATCTGAATCTTACGACTAAGCAAACTGTGCCAGTTCGGAAGGTCTGGCGACGGGCCGAAGCGCTGACGAAAGAGGTCGTCCAGGCGACGAAAACAGCGGGGAGTGGAGTGACCGATCTTACCGCAAACGAAGCCGCGGCGAGGACCGGTCTGGATCTGGTACTGACAACGCACGCCTCCAGAGCCACCACTCGGCACACCACCACGCGCCCAGCCACCGCCAGCGCCGGGCCACTCGGGCGGGAGGACACTCGTCTGCCGCGTCTGCGACGGCTGCTGCGGCTGCTGCGAAGTCTGCGACTGCGGCGTCTGCTGCGGCTGCTGCAACTGCAGGGGCGGCGGCTCAGCTGGACTGGGCAGGGTCCCCTCGTCCGCTCTAGCACCAGACGACCCGACTCCACCACCACCCCCTCCCGCACCCCCGCCTCCTCCGCCGCGCCCAACTTTTGGGCGGCGGCCCTTCCCCGAACGAACCTGCGCTGCAGCAGCGGTCTCAGCCACTGCGGCAGAGCCGTCGGAAAAGGTACACTGTGTCAGAAACCCAGCCACTAACCACTGGGTTAAAAGGGCTTGTTAAATAGC